ACAGGACAGTCCTGCAGGGTGGGGCGGGTCCGAGCTGTGCACAGAGGTGGGGCAGCCACAGTGGGGGTGGAGCGGCCAAAGCTGCGTGCCCCCAGAAACCTGTCCCTACTGGCAAGCCCCAATGGGAGCTGCCTACGGGTTCTGCAGGGGGCGGGGGAGCAGAACTTTTTCGCAGCACCCTGAGTTCCACTTCACGGAACCTCAGGGTTCCACGGAGCACCATTTGGGAAACATTGCCTTAGAGGATGTGCAGATATATGTGCCTCGGATGTGGTGGCTTATGTGGTTAACTCCTGTGATGGTGTCACTAATATAGATGTGTAGACAGATTTGGCAGTGTGGTTGGTCCCTAGGTGAATGTATCTGAGGTGTGATGAGTGGCTGCTGGGAAGGATTTGCTTCCAGTTATGGGGTTTTTGTAGGAGAGGATCAGCCTGTCTCCCAAGGCCTGTGAGATTGAGGGATCGTTTTCCAGGAGAGGTTGTGGATTATCAATGATGTGCTGGAGGGTTTAAGCTGGGGGCTGTAGGTGATGACCAATCATGTTCTGTTATTTTCTGGACCCAGATATCCTCCAATCACACAAATTGAAAATTGTCCCACTTTATTGCAGTTCTGTAACCATGCAGGAATAAATCCTGTGTTCCATGCACATCCAATATTCCTACTAAATTCAGAAGTGCCTGCCTTTGTAGCCATAGTACAGTATCTGGTATTTTCAGCCCTTGTAATTTAAACAGGTTTAATTTAGTAATTGGCCTCTGCCTTTTAGAAAAAGATAAGTGCTGCATGAGGTGTTGATTATTCACTAGGTAATGTGAAACCCTCCTATTACCATAATAAACCAGTGCAGCATAAAATGCACTTTGCTCCTGTGAAAAGATTCGCTTCAGCAGGCTTTGAGCGGAACTGGTTATACACGGGGTAATTCCTCTGTCTCCGCAGGATCCCATGCTCCTAGAGGAGGGGGATAGTGTGAACTGGTTGCAGAGCTGCTGCTCAGGGATTTGGGAATCCAGACTCCAAAATCATTCCAGCTGCACTTTCTGCATGACTGTGCTAGCTAAATGGTGTGTGGGAATTGGGGGCCCCTGATACAGGTGATGGGCATCTCAGGTACTTGGCCAGAGAGAAGCACTGAACTTCAGAGTCTGCAGCTGCTTCAGGCCAGCACTGAGGATTTAGAGTCCCAAGTGCCGCCTTTGCAAGGTTCAAGCCTGCTCAGCCTTGGAATTGCCACTCTCCTGTGGCTAGTAACTGCAGTTGTCCAACCCTGGCCTCTGGCAATTAGACCCACAGCTCTAGCCGGAGATGCTGCAGGTGGCTCTGAGTACCTGGGTCCATTAAGCTAGGAGCAGATGAAGAAACTGGAGTTATCCTCAAGGAACAGTGGTCACCAATAGGAAAGGGAACGGGGGGCGGGGGAAGAAGCCTCAGCAGGCTGGGGAACATGTCCAAGGTAAAAGGGAAACCAACATGGGGAGAGGTGGTGGTGACCAGCTACTAGACTAGCGTGTAGATGGGAAATGAAGTAGAAAGGTAGGTGACTTCAGGTTCTTAGGAGGTAATTGCTCATTGGAGGAAATAGTGTTTGCAAATGGCTCAAATGGCAGGATGGCTGCTAGGGAAGGGATTTGTCAGAACTGATCAGATAGCTTCTGGCTGTGGGACTTTGCTGAGCTGAGACCAGGGCCACATACAGTGACTGGTGAAATAGGGTGGTCCTGGAGACGTGGCTATAGAATGTCTGGATAAGGAAGGAGCTAAAATCTGAGGGGACGTTTCCCCAATCACTATGTCACTTGCTCACTGTGGACACTGGTAAACCCCCGTGGGTGTACAGCACAATGAGAGAACCTGGGAGCTGAGGAAGCTGTGTACAGCAGTATATACAAACTTTTAAGGGTGTGTGATCAAAATGAAAAATGCCTCAGACTCAATACCAGGCATACTATAGTTCTGTCACACCAGGCTCACACTCAGAAGGGCGTGATACACACTACATGGGAGCCCACAAATACATTTGGCACCCGGGACCACAAAATGTTAGTGGCCCTAATGCTGCTACGCACTGGTCTGTGTAGACCCTGCTGCGTGCACTGAAAGTTCCTTCCCTAGCACTATGTGAAAGTTTGAGAACCCCATTGCTACAAAATCATCCACTATGTCCTGCATGTTGCTCTGAGGCACAGTCCTTTGTAGCAGGCTGCAATTGATGGCCCAGCCCATGTGGATTTTGCAATTCCAAATTGCTTCTGGCCTGTCGGGAATCACTCGTGGATTGCAAACTTCCACCCAGCAATTGCCACTCACTCCTCTACCTCGGAGAAGCTCTCTTTTTGGTGTGGCTGTGCTGCAGGGTTGGGGCAAGCTCCGCAGACATTTCCAGGAATGTGGCTTTGTGCATCAAAGTTCTGCAGCCAATGCTCATCATCCCCTACCTGCATAACGACGCAATCCCACCAATCTGTGCTTGTCCTGAGCCCAGAATTGTCACTTCACCCTTCACAGCTGCTCTGTGAATCCCAACAACACCCTTGAATTGTTCCAATGTTCCACTGCAAATTGGCCTCCACGGAATTGTTGTGTTCCCAGTGGCTCCTCTGGTAGCTCTGTGAAAACTGGAGGATCAGGCACATTGTGCTCACAATGCTCCTACTAATAATGGAGAGTTGTGCAGGTTCCATGCTTCTCACAGCAATAGCAGAGACAGGAGTTTGAGGGGCTTTTGAAAAGAGGCCTGACGCATTACGGGATGCAGATAAAATTATGGGACAGAGAAAGCTGCGTCGTGGGATGTTGAAACCTTGTTCCCAGTCACCCTTGCACAACTTGTTTACCCTCATGAGCCACTGAAAGCCCTTTCCAAAATACCTAGGCTGCGTTTACACTGCAGGGTTTTTGTGCAAGAAGTCGTTTGAGGAAAAATTCTTGTGCACACCTCAAAGAGCATTGCTTTTGTGCAAGAGAGCGTCCACACTGCATGGATGGTCTTGCGCAAGAAAGCTCAGAATGGCCATCAGAGCATCTGTACTTTTTCGGATAGGCTCTATTTGCACTAGAAACCCCTGCAGAGTGTCCACACATGCCTTTTTGTGCAACAGCTATCGTGCAAAAAGGAGTTATGTCTCGTAGAAGGAGGTTTACCTACACCGCAAAAAGCCCTCTGTTCTGCTGTTTTATTGTTGATTTACTTGCACAAAAGTGCACTTGAGGTGTGGACACTTCACGGGTTTCTGCACAAAAACCCTGCAGTATAGACGTAGCCCTAGTGTTCGGTGGTAGCAAGTTGAAGAGGTACCCATAGTACACTGTTCTCTGTCTCCATGCAAGTTCTGGTAGTGAGGACATACACTGCTGACCCAAAGACTGTAGGGTAGACACACAAAAGCAATTTATTTACTGTATACCCATGTAACTTAAGTCTACTTGACTTAGTAGTGTGGACACTCTTAGTAATTGCTCCTTAATTTTAAAGATTGATATGTTTGCCTAAATTGTTGATTTCCCACATCTTTCAATATCCTCACTTTCCTCCTGACTTATAATTTCTGTGCATTTTTAATTAAAAATTCTAATTTTGGGTGTAATATGGCTTGTTTCAGGCCTTGTGACTACCAAAGGCAATAAATTTTCAGTATTTGAAAATAACATTTCAGATTCTTTAAAGACTTTAATAAAATTAAACATCATAGTAGTAAAAACAAACTTTTAATGATAAATCTTGATTTGTGGCATAACCAAATGACAGATGTAGTGTCAAAATGCTATTTTTCTGTTTTCCACATGCAATCATAAGCTGCAAATAAAAATTATCTGAGAAAATATAGGGCTGACTTTTCCATATTTTCAATTGATACAGGAAATACTGGAAATGCATAATCTTGAAGTTTCAGAAGTCTCTGAAAGTAATGAAGAGGGCTGAAGTTTTACAAATTTAATTTGTAAATCATGTTAGTCTACGGTGTGACAATATTAATCTAAAACACAACTTTAAAGTGAAAAAGATTTAAATGCAGAAGTTCACTGAACATTACTCCTGGGGAAATCATGTGCAAAGCAGGTTTTTGCAAAAACTAACATGCATGCATAATTTTCTCTCCCTCCCCCGCCATGGGCTGCAGAGGTGCTAGCTGCCACAAGAAGTGGCAGAGCCCAGCTCACACACAAAAGATACTGCTGGGGGAGCAGGAGTGAGGGAGCTAAAGGGTTCCTGGCAGTTGCAGATCCCAGCATGCTTTGGGGGAATGAGTCAACAATGCACAGGAAGTGCTGTGTAAACCTGGGATGAAGCATCAGGCTCTTTTTTCTCTCTGGGTCTCTGGGCTCTGGGGCAGGAGGGGCCATCTCTGAACTGGGTGGCATGGCTGGGTTCTGGATGGAGAGAAATGTAGGTATCTGGGCAAAGGGGATCCCATGGCTTGGCCCTGAGGGGAGGAGATGTGGATATTTTGGAAAGG